GCTTCAATTACATTTCTGAAGGGTGTCGAAAGACTACATAGTCTAGGGTTATACCGATCTCTATCAGACAAGCTAATCTTTTTTATTATTTTGAAATTGCTTCTACATTGTCTTCTTGTATGATCTCACTCGGAGTGGTTGATAGTGGTAGGAAGTCACCATCATCTGGTTTTTCTGTTCTCAGGTAAGTGGAGGCTATAGTTCACATGGTCCATTTGTCCTTTGGATTCATTAAGTCCTTGAGTGTTTTAGTTTCTTCACTCTTTTGTTTCAGATGAGGAAAGATTAATAGTTGAATATTACCTCTCCAAAGCTTTTTAGAACCCAGTCTATAACCATCAAACCATCAAAACAGAATGGACATCATTATCTTTGTAGACTTTGTAGATCACCAGGTCTTTCTCTCTCAAATAACTGATTGTTGAGAACTTGTTTGTGTCAGCTATGCTCCTTCCACACCTTACTGCCTGTATTCAAAAAAGCTAAGCATTTTCCTGTTCAATAACCTTTATTTGTGTTAGATGTTGCCAAGATGCTTCAGACTCAGTGATCCTATGTAGAGCAATGAAATGATGTCTGGTCCTGTGCCATCCTCATAATCCTTGCTATGTTTAATTCATTGCTATATCAGCTTTGCTAGTCTCTTTTAGGATCTTCCCTTTTTGCTGTACTTTTTTAAAGTGCTAAAGAATAAGGATGTCACTCTAAAGACTAAAGTGTATATAGATAAACACTTTATATATATGATAGATAGATAGATAGAGATATATGATTGATATAAAGATGATGTGTGTGTGAGAGAGAAAGAAAAGAAGAAGGAGGAGGAGGAGGAGGAAAAGAAAGAGAGAGAGACTCAAGCTTGATTCAGTCAAGTCCCTTGCTGCATTCACCATGTTGAGGGTCTTCCTTTCTTCACCGTCCTTCCACATTTCCAAACATGATGTTCTTCTCCAAGGAATAGCGTCTCCTAGAAACATGCCCAAAGTATGCAACATCAAGTTTTGCCATCCTTGACTCTAAGGAGCACTCTGGCTTCACCTTCTCTAAGACATATCTGTTTGTTCTTTTGACAGTCTGTGAGATATTCAGAACTCTCTTCCAACACCTCAACTGACATAACTCAGGATCTTGCTATACATGTGAAAGTTGGACAATGTAAAAGGAAGATTGTAGAATAATAGATATTTCAGAATTGTGGTATCAGCAAAGAATATTGAATTTACCTTGGACTGCCATGAAAAATAAGCATATCTGTTTTGGAAAAAGTACAGTCAGAATGCTCCTTGGAAACAAGGCTAGTGAGACTTATTTTCGACATGTTGTCAGGAAGAGCTACTTCCTGGAGAATAACATCATACAGAGTAAAGTGGAGGATCAGCTCAAGGAGAGTAGGACCCTCAATGACATGGACTGATTCCGTGGCTCTAACAATGGTCTAAGTACAACAGTGATAATGTGAATGGTGCAAGAATGGGCAGGATTTTGCTGTGTTGTGCTTAGAGTAGCTACATGAATCAGAGTCATAGAATTCACTCAATAAATGCCTCTTGAGCATCTTACTTATGATATTGTTTTCTTTTTTTAGCTATATACAATTTTTTAAACTCAACTATATTAGATTATTTTTCCAAAAAGTTGGCTGAGAACTAGCTATATCAAATGCAAATATATTTTCCAGAAAATATTTAGAAAGTTATATCTGATCTAGAGTCCTAGGTCAATTCTACTCTATAGACTTCTACAATCAAAAAGTTTATAGGACAATTTTGCTGCTTTATTCACAACAACAAATGCACAGAAATAATTGAAATGCCTATTAACAGAAAAATGAATAAGCATACTGTGATATTATAGGTAACATCCTTTACTTTGTGTGCTACTCTGATATTTGAATAAATCATTAATGGTACAAAATTCTGTCATTCTATCTTATTCCTCATTTCTGTTGTATACTAAGAATTAATAAAGATAGCATACTATGAAATCATAAAGAACAATAAGTCTGAGAAACAGAATATAATATGGATGGATATGAAGCACACAATGTTCAATAAAATAACTGAAATGTATAAAGGCAAAGATTGTGTGATCACTCTTTTGTAAGAACAAAAGAACATATATATAAAGAGAGATACCAGCATTCATAGTTGATTACCAAAGAGAAGAGGGAAAAGTATAGGTTAGAACATGTTGTTGTTATTGTTGTTATTGCTGCTGCTTTTATGTGCTGTCGAATCCAGTGGATTTTCCAGGGGCTATAAATCGCATGGAAGGAGACTGCACATCTTTCTCTAGTGGGCAGCTGGTGGATTGGAACCACCTGCTTTGGGGTTGGAAGCACAGCTTTTTACCCAATGGGCCACTGGCGCTCCCTATTTAGATCTTGGAGTCCTATTAGTTTGGAAACAGGAGGAGTGACATCAAATGTGGATGCTGTGAGCACAGCATAACCAAAGTAAAAGTGAGTGACTGAACCATATTGAAGGGTATAGCAATAATAGTATACCGGTAGTTACAGGTATGAACATAAATGAAAACAGGGAGATAAAATCAAATGCTGGTTTACATTGAGTCAATTCCAATTCGCAGTGTTCCTATAGGACAGAGCAACTGTCGCACAGGGGTACAAAGACTGTCCTTTTTTTGCAGAGTTAGACTGGCACAGCTTTCGCCCACATAGTGGCTGGTGGATGTGAGTCATCAACCTTTCATTTACCTGCCAAGCACTCAATCACCAGACACATGTAAATACCAACAACCAAAACCAAAGAGGAGGAAATAGATTTATACCAACTTTTGCAGTTAGAAATTGATTGACCATGCAATCAAGATTGATCAATAGAAATTGGTGACTGGAATGTAAAAATTGGGAACAAGGAAGAAGGATCAGCAGTTAGAAAATATGATTGTGCGACAGAAATGAGGAAGAAGAATGACAGAATTTTGTACCGTTAATGATTTATTCAAATAGCAGAGTAGCACACAAAATAAAGGATGTTTCCTATAATATCAGTGCTGTGCTTGAACAAGTCAGAGCTCTAGTAGTGTAGTCCTTAGTACCTCTTCAGTGGTTCTAAACCATCAGTGGCTCCTTAGAAGAAAGTTGGACAATTTCTTCCCTTGTGATTTACAGCCTCTGTAAACTTCCTGGAAGGTCAGCTATGGCAATGACTTTGTGTTTTTGAAAATCATTTGTAGGAGACCAAAAGGTCAATAATTATTCAAAAGCAAAATTTAATCAAAAGGAGCAGGAAAGCTAGCTAGAATAATGGAAACAGAACAAAGAATGCCCAGAAGACATTGACACATTGTGGTAAATGTAATGAATTTCAATGAAAAAATTATGTGGAATTTATTAGATGAGAAGCTAACCTGTGTAAATGTTCATTAAAACATTTATTAAAATATTATATAAGAATTATTAAAGTTTATAAGATAAAAGAATTGATTTAGTTGTACTTGGAAAAATAAGAAACTTCCACTCTTGCTTCTTCCTTGTTTCTTATCAAATGGAAGAGACAGAGAAAACTACTCCACCTGGTCATTTCCTAAATTGCTGAGCTCAGAGGAACACTGGCAAAGACAGCAGCTAACAGCAGCAGTGAAGGTGAATGTGGAAAGGAAGAGAAGCTGCAGGCAGTGAGATTGAGAAGATGGCTATGCTTGTCCATTTAGACAAGAACCAGGCAATCTGTTTTCTTCTAGCAAAACCAAAAGCAACACCAATTGTTGTTGCTGTTATGTGCTATTAGTTGTTTGCAACTCATAGCAACATATTCGCAACAGCTCTGAACCCTGCTCTACCCTGAGCTAACCTTATTGTCTCTGACACATCCAGCCCTATTCCCCCAGTCACTGAGTCAATCCATTTTATCCAGGGTCTTCCTTTCTTACATTGTCCCTCCACCCTTCCTCCCAATCATGATGTCCCTCTCCAAGGAATGCCGAAAGTATGCCTGGTACAAACTGAAGCTATTAGTAATCTCAGCCTCTTCACTGTCTATCATGCTGCTGCCAATTGGCCCCGTGATGAGAATCTTTGTTTTCTTGACATTGAGCTTCAATTCATATTAAAAAGTAGTCAAATTAGACCAGATTCATAGCTTTCCCTTCAGTATGTTTTCAGGAACTCTAAATCACACAGGAAGAGATTGTCCATCTTTCTCCCAGGGAGCCACTGCCTGGTGTATTCAAACTACTTGCTTGGAGGTAGAGGCACAACTCTTGATGCACTAAACCACCAGAACTTCCTTTTTATTTATACCAACCACAGAAATTAATCAATAAACGTACAGCTCTTCACACAGGAACAATTGTTTCTTTCTAAGATTTTTCTCATAGAAAAGAATAACATGAACTCATAATAATTGCTTTATCTATCTTCTGCTCCTTTAAAAAAACCCAAAACATTTTAGAGTTGCATTTTCAAGAATTACTGTTGTTAGAAAATACAAATAATAAACTTGTTGTCTGTGATTACTTTATTCTTGCTTCCTTGTTCTGATAGGCACAGTCTCAGCCACCCACTGATCGTGTCAAGGATGACAGAGCTACATTTTGAAGGATATCTTAGATACTTGAGCAAGTGATGAACCAGGGTCAATGAATTTATCAAGAGAAGAAAGATGAGAAACATGAGTGAAAATCCTAAACCACCTTCTTCGCTCAACCACTCTAAATTCTACCCCTATATTATTATACCAAACTCAGGGCTGTGAGACAGTGAGAAACGTGACAAAACAATGTGGTAACCACACTGTGGACAAAAATAAAAGCAGCTTTCTGGAGTCAAATAGTGTGGAAGTCTAGGATGATTATTGAACAAAGGAATTGAACTCGGTCATTTAAATGGATAAATAACCGTTTTTAGTGCAGCACAGATAAAAGATCACTTTCAATGATTGCATTGATAGTTGAATTTTAAAAACTGTTATCCTTTATACTCAATTTCCTTTTTATGTACATTCATCACGTATAATTTCTTTTTTTTTTTCTCCAAGGGAGAAAGTAAAAATGAGAAGAAATCTCACAAAACCAAGATATCTCCAGTCACATATGAAGAAGTGGACACCAAAGTACAAGGTCAGAAGATAATCTGTAAGGGAAAAAATATTAGAAGTAAATGCAAATTTCTCTGAAAGATCTTATGTAGTAAAATTTTGCCCTTGATGAGGTAAATTATCTAGGATCAGTCTTTAAAGGAGCTGAATACTTGGGACAACATTACACTCTTTTATCCATTAAACAGATTTGTTTTTTATTATTATTTTATACTGGTTTATTTACGAAGTTGGTTTAGATTTTTTTCCACATCGAATCGTTTCCATTTCCTTCACCACCACCTCCTCCACCCATTAAACTGTATGATACATACTTTTTAAAGAACCACCTGCAACATGCCATAGACAGTGCAAAGGCTGAAGATGAGACAATGAACAATATGGGTAACATCTTGGTAAATGGAATTTACATTGTAGACAAAATGAAAGGGACAATTTCAGCTAATGATAAGGGTTACAAAGATTAAAAAAATGTATAGATTATATTTGTCTAAAAGTTTAATATTCATAGCTCTGATCATCTCCTCAAACTCTCTCTCCATTAAATATCTTACTATCAAGTATTGACTTGTCTGCCACAAAAAAGAGAAGCTGAAATCTCATCTCTTGGGGCCTGGAACCTATGACCTTGTTCGGAAGTGGGATCTTTAAATATGTTATCATTTCAGTTAATTTTAAATCATACAAGAAAAGATGCACAGAGTGACTGGTAAAGTATGAAAAAAGACTTACATGCCAAGGAACACTTGAGGGTAATAGATGCTTAGAAAGAAAGAATTGTCCTTTTCAGAGCCTTCAGAAAGAACATAACCCTGCCAAAAAAAGAATAATACTCTAGATTAGGACTAAAATCCTCCATAATCATGAGACAATAGGTTTCTGTTGTTTAAAGGGCTTATCTTTGTGGCATTTTGTCAATAAAGTGGACTTAAGAAACTAACACACACATCTACTCTGAAGACTATCATACTCATCTATCTCTGTTAATGATTCCAAACCCATATCAATGTTCTACTACAATTACGATCCATAATTATTTCATGGATTTCCATAACTATAAACATCACTATCCATGACTAATAATATCCATAACTGTGTTCCACTACCAACCCAAGAGAAATCAAATCAAAACCAGTCACTGCTGTTCCAACTCATGGTGACCCTCCCTCTTTCTTCCAAGGAATGGCTGGTAGGTTTAACTGTCTGTTCACAGCCTACTTAACCTACTAAGCCACCAAGGCTGAGCTCTTCCTTGTTCCTTTCAAATAAGTTCCCCCTTCTCCTGAATCTTTAAAATTCTATTCCTAACTCATGCTTTTATTTCTCTTTCTATATTGCTTTCACTGGAAATGAGTCAGGAACTTCCATGATGTTATTGGATTTTTTGTTTATTTGGGGGGGGCGGTTAGATTCTGTTGAGTTGACTATAACCTCATGAACAGCAGGTCTGAACCTTGTTCTATCCCAAGCCATTCTCACAATCTCTGAAACACTCAAGCCTGTTGCTGTAGTCATTGTGTCAATCCACCTGGTTGAGGGTCTTCCTCTCTTTTGTTGTTTCTGCACCTTCCCAAGCATGGTGTAGCTCTCCAAGGAGTAATCTCTCCTATGTGATATAAAGCTTCATCATCTTTGCCTCTGAAAATCACTCTGACTGTACCTTCTTCAAGACAGATCCGTTTATTCTTTTGGAAGTCCATAGGATATTCAGTACTTTTCTCCAATACCACAGTTCACAGGCATTAATTCTTCTGTTACCCTTATCCATTCTGTCATTATTGTCTGGCTCTTGGAAACATAACACATGACTGAAAAGACCATACTCTCAATAATGCCACCTTAGTCTTCAAACTGACATAATTTCTCCTCAATATTTGGAAATATGCATGACTACAGACTTTCCCAGTACCTCTTCTGATCTCCTGAATGCTGGTACCCAGTGTATTGATTGTAATCCAAGTGAGATGACATTATTGACAATCTCATTTTTTTCCCATCTACCATGATGGTGTCTATAGATCCAGTGGAAAGAATTTTGTTTTCTTGGCATTGAGATGCAACTTGTTTTGAAGATAGCAGTGTTTAATCTTCTGCAGCAAGTGCTTCAAGCCCTCCTCACTTTCAGCAAGCATGGTTGTGTCATCTGCATAATTAAAGTTATTGATGAATCTTCCTCCAATCCTAATGTCACATTCTTCTTTATAGAGTCTAGGTTCTTGAATAACTTTCTCAGCATACAGATTAAAAAGGTATAGAGAAAGGTATAGGAACTTTCTTAATGATCCTCAAATCTCCTTTCCAATTCCAGCAATGGCATTCTGGTTTAAGCCCTTTTTAACCAACCTGCACACTGGTGGGCCCGTTACCTGGTCTCATCTGGCTGGAAGTCTGTTTCAGCCAATCTCTCTGTCCTTTTCAGCCAGCCTATTCAATATTAGCAGACTACAAAGTTCTCCAGTGATCTCATATTGCCTACAGAACTGTATCTTGATGTCTCCACCTGACTTTGTTGGCCTTGCTCTCAGCCTTCCTTTCTAGGCCACATCTTCTGTTTCTCTCCAGTACAAATACGCCAGACAAAAACGATAAGGGAATAATTAGAATAGAGCATGCTGCTATTAAAAAAATGAAGGTGGTGCTCTGGTGACCTATTGACAAGAAGCTGAACTGCCATCCTGAAGGCACATGGTTTGAAGCCACCAGTTGCCCCACAGGAGAAGGACTGGCAATTTCCTCCCATGAGAATAACTGCCTCTGAAAACCTGCCAGAGGATCAGCTATGGGTCACTTTTGACTTTATTGTACATAACACAAACACCAAGCAACATTAAACCTAAAAAAAAAATGCTATTAGCCCCTTATTTCTACAAGGCTAGAAAAAAAATTTTATGTACCCTATAATAGGCAAAATCTATGATGGATTAATGACTATCATTTTACTAAAACAAAATTTTTAAGTGAGGCACAATTGAAGTTCATACTAGACAAAATTTCTATCTTTGTAGTGGTAAAAATAAATATATGAAAATTTCAAGCAAGACTGTAAATAAAGCAATATACTACAAATATTATTATAGATTTTAAAAAATACTTGGCAAAGGATATGACTATTATAACCAAAATTACCATTCTGAGTATAGTGCCCTCAACTACTGTCATACTTAGTATGCTATTATTTAAGAGAAATGCATAGGATATATGTGAAGAGAATAGCTGTATTTAACTAAGAGATGGAGAATAAAACTTAATAATTAGAATATTTTTTCCAACTAGGATGGTAATAAAATAAAAATGCTAATTTTTCCTATACTTATCTATAGGTAGATTATTTTTAAATTTTTTTTACAATCTCTTCCATATTCAACAATATAAAATATTATAAAAACAAGGTGGATAAAATTGACTTTCATTTTCTTGATCTATTTTATTTATTCAATTACTTTTATGTGTACATACATGTATACATATTGTGTGTGTTTTGAAAACCAAGTCTAGATTTTAACCATTCAAATTAGAACAGAGATTGAGTCTTCACATTTGTCTTTACTCTGCATTTTCATTTCGGCCACGATGATGATAAAGTAGTGTTTCCCAAATAGATAATAAAAATGTAGTTCTTTGAGAAAAAAAAAACGAGTCCAACATGAATGTAATAATATTGACCTTAACTAATGGCTACTCCTTAACAACCCAATTGTTAGATTGTTGTTGTTAAGTGCCATTGAGTCGCAGGCGACTCACAGCGGCCCTATGAAGGAGAGTCCTTGACGCTTTGCAATTATTTGCTATACATCAGAGAACTGTACAATGATTAGGGATGATAGCAGGAGAATTGATGCCTTTGAGCTGTGGTGCTGGGAAAATATATTGAATATACCGTGGACTGCTAAGAGAACAAACAAGTTCATCCTGGAGAGGGTGAAGCCAGGCTGCTCCTCAGAGGCAAGGATTCTGAAGCTTCGTCTGACATACTTTGGACACGTTGCAAGGAGAGATCAGTCCTTGGAGAGGGATGTCATGCTTGGGAGGGTGGAAGGACAGACAGCACAGGGAAGGAAGACCCTCAATGCGATCGATTGATTCAGTCCCTGGGGTAATGGGGATAGGTGTGTTGGAGACAATAAGATTGGCAAGGGATAGAGCAGGGTTTAGGGTGGTTGTATGTAGAGTCACTTAGAGTCACACGTGACTCAGTGGCACATAACAACAACATGACATATTACTGAAAAAATATCTAAAAATAATAAGACTCCATTCGGGTAAAAGTCCGCATATATTAAAAATTATTAAATAATGGTACGCATATACCAAGTCATTGTTGTTGTTATTAGGGTCCATCAAGTTGACTTCAACTCATAGACACCCTAGGAAAAGCTGATCTGAAGCTTGCCCTATCCTGTACCATCTTTACAATGTCTAATATGCTCCAGCCCATTGTTAGAGTCGCTGTGCCAATCCATCTTTTTGAGGGTCTTCATCTCATTCCATAATCCTCCACTTTTTCTAGCATTTTTTTTCCAAGGGGGCATAATAAAACATGTTCTGTCTTTTTGTCAACAATCAAAGGAGGGGGAAATCCTTTTAAAGATCATATAATAATTTTCAAATAATGAAATGCATAATATACAATGGAATTGGCAAATGGCAATCTTGGAAGAAAAGAAATAATCTATAGTAGTAACCAAGTCCATACGTGCCAAAGGAAGACAACAAACAAACAAACAAAAAAAAAAAAGAAGAAGAAGAAGGAAAGAAAGGAAAAAGGCACCACAAAATTATCCAGATAATTCAAGGCTTAATGGCATGAAACCAGGGATAATACCTTTGAAAGGCCAAGTTTGTCTTCGTCTTTGCTGTACTTGTTTTAAAAGTCTATTTGTAAGCTTATATTTTCACAGCTGGTAATGAAAACTTATTTTATGGAAGCTTCATTTAACAGGATTACTTGAGTGGGAAAGAAAAAATTGTTTCATTTAGAATTGCAGGCTTAGCATGTCTTCAAAGACATTAATAGGACTAGGA